GCCTCCCTCGCCCCCGCCGCCCTCGCCTGCGCCGCCCTCGGGACACCTCCGCTTTTCTCGCCATCACCCCCACCGCCGCCCTCACCACCGCCCTCACGCCGCCGCCGCCGCTGCCGCCACCCTCGCCGCCACCCTCGCCTCCGCCGCCTAGCCCCTCACCGCCCAGCCCGCCGCCGCTCTCGCCCCCACCTCGCTCGCCGCCGCCCCCGTCCACATCTCCCTCTCCGCCCCCGCCATCGCCACCACCACCATCTCCACCGCCTTCTCCACCGCCTCCGTCGCGGCCGCCACCCTCGCCGCCGCCGCCAAGGCCAACGCCCCCCTCACCATCCCCTCCCTCGCCGGGGACGCCCTCGCCGCCACCTCCGAGCCCGCCGCCGCCGTCGCCACCGCCTCCGAGCCCGCCGCCTCCGAGCTTGCCGCCTCCGAGCCCGCCGCCTCCGAGCCCTCCGCCTCCCTCGCCGCCACCTCCCGGCCAACCACCTGCCTCGCCACCCCATCGTCTCCGCCGACGCCCTCGCCCCCACCTCCCTCGCCGCCCCCCTCCCCATCGCCCCCGCCTTCTCCGCCGCCCCCGAGCCCACCTCCGTTGCCCTCGCCACCGCCCTCGCCGCCGCCTCCGCCCCCACCCTCGCCGCCGCCGCCTCCGCCTACGGGGCCCTCGCCGCCGCCTCCGAGCCCGCCGCCTCCGTCGCCCTCGCCGCCGCCGTCTTCGCCCTCGCCGCCTCCTCCGAACCCGCCGCTCCCCTCGCCGCCGCCCTCTCCGCCCCCACCGTCGCCGCCGCCACCGTCTCCGCACCGCCGAGCCCTCCTCCGCCGAGGCCACCACCCTCGCCACCGGCGTCGTCGTCGCCGCCGCCCTTAGCATCGCCGTACGCCACCCCCAACCCTCTCGCCGCCGCCCTCGCCGTTGCCGCCCTTGCCTCCCACAACCTTGGCCTCCGGCTTCCGAGCCCCGCCGCCTCCCCTTGGCGGCCCCCGTCCCTTGGTCGGCCCATTTCCCCTTCCCGCTGCCCCCCGAAACCCCCCG